ATTATTATTATTATTATTATTATTATTATTATTAATATTACATTGGGGATAATGGACCTTGATTTAAAGCCCATGACCTATGTTTTACCCATTCCTGCCCCTATGAGAAGGAATCCAAGATGAACAAAAACCCCTTGTTGAGTTTGAGACCTTCTGAAGTTAGTAGTTGTTCACTTGGAGCTCACTTGGAGCTCTCCCAGGTGCTGCAATATCTATCACGTGTTGTGCCCTATAGGTTGCAACTGGCCTAAATCAAACAGAGTTGTACTGTAACACTAAACCAGATCACATTACTCCCAGACTCAGGGCACATCTACAATAGCCACTTACATAAAGTGGGGGGAAAGGTAGGAGAACTTTATCTAAGTTATGTTGACACACTGGTTGTGTATCCTATATTGCCTCTCTTCTTTGATTGGATCCTGGCTAGAGAACTGCAACGTCCTCAACATAGTTGCCTTTAAAACCATACTCCTTGATTGGCTACTTGCACTTATGCAAACCTAATAATAATAATAACCATCATCATCATCATCATCTTTATTTGTATCCCACCCCCTCTCCCAAAAGGGACTCGCGGCAGATTACAACAAAAATGCAATATAAATAGTAATAATCAACAACCAAAGCAACACAAGTCAGCAAATCATAGTACAAAAACTAAAACAACCATTAAACATATTAAATTATAACATCACAATAAGTATAAAATTATGTGCTGGATTTTTTATTTTAGTTTTTGTTGTGTCAGGAGCGCCTTGAGAAACTGCAAGTCGCTTCTGGTGTGAGAACATTGGCCATCTGCAAGGACGTTGCCCAGGGGACGCTAGGATGTTTAGATGTTTTATCATCCTTCTGGGAGGCTTCTCTCACGTCCCCACATGGGGAGCTGGAGCTGATAGAGGGAGCTCATCCGCGCTCTCCCTGGATTCGAACCTGCAACCTGTCGATCTTCAGTCCTGCCTCCATCACTTCAGTTATAGACAACTATTGTCAAAGGCCTTCCTCCACATCCATGTGATGGTGGTTGGACTGTGAGACGCCTCCCCCGACTCCCGATGGAACTTAAGGCCTAAGTGGGTTCATTGGGGGAGACACCGTCACATAAATAACTGGACCCAAACCATTTAGGGCTTTGAATTGAGCCCAGAAACACACAGGCAGCCAATCGTGCTGCTTTAACAAGGGAGTGGTGTGCTCCCTATAGTCAGCTCCTGTCAGAAGTCTGGCTGCTGTTCTTTGCACTAATTGCAGTTTCTAAGCCATCTTCATAGGCAGCCCCACGTAGAGTGCATTGCAGTAATCCATCTGAGATGTAACCAAAGTTACGGTGTAGGTGTACCCTTTGTCTTTGTGTGTGTGTGTGTCAGGAGCGACTTGAGAAACTGCAAGTCTCTTCTGGTGTGAGAGAATTGGCCATCTGCAAGGATGTTGCCCAGGGGACGCCTGGATGTTTAGATGTTTTATCATCCTTGTGGGAGGCTTCTCTCATGTCCCCACATGGGGAGCTGGAGCTGATTGAGGGAGCTCATCCGTGCTCTCCCCGGATTCAAACCTGCAACCTGTCGGTCTTCAGTCCTGCCAGCACAAGGGTTTAACCCACTGGGCCACCGGGGGCTTCCCCTTTGTCTGACAGAAGGGGAAGGGCAAGCCAACAAGAAAACAACTTGAAGGCACCCAACAACAACAGAACTTTGGAGAGATATGAAAATAATGGATTCGGTTTCATTGTTTACTGACTTTGCTTGACCTGACTTTCTGGGTGATTGTGATCTTGAATTTGAAAGAGATTTAGAGGTTGTTTCCTAACTAGATGCCCAAACATGTGACAGCAAACCAGCACATATGTACCATGCAGCTAAAGATGCCTAGCTTGAAAGATAATGGCTTTGCCTTCACATGAGGCTGTTGTCTTATCCTGCATTGCAGCGCCAACACGACCTGGGAGTCGGACCAGATGATCTCATAAGATCCCTTTGGGATTCTGTGATTTTACTAGCATAACTTACAAAGAGTGTCCAGGCTTCTTCCTCTATCTCTCTCTGTCTCTCTCTCTCTTACAGACACATTCACTCACACAGCTTGAGACAGCAGGATGACTGTGGCTAATAGAGTTTGGCTGATCCCCCTGCAGGGCTATGATGAGATGGACAAAAAGGGAAGGGGGGAATGGGAGGGGAAGGGAGCCAGATGAGGAAGAAAGGCCAGGAGAGCCTGAGCTGAAGATGAGGCAGAGCTGATGAGTGACAGCAAGACGTGGCATGCAAAGAGATGCTCGGACATTTTCCCTATCTAGTGCTGTACAGACATCTGACCCCATAGTGCAATTCCTCTGGGGTGAGGTGGAGCTGCATTCTTCAGGAGCTGAGTCGCCCTTTGTGCACATCTGCTCAGGTCCAAAGTCAAGCCTATGTTTGTTGTTGTTCTTTGGTGACCTTGAATGGGAATTGTCAACCTCTTGTTCCTTTGCAGCATCCCTGGGGCACATTAATTTCAGCGCTGGGGATTGTGTGTGTGTGTTTGTGTATGGACGAGAGAGAGTAAGAACATGTGTGTTGCTCTTAATACATGCATGAATAAACCCAAGTTGACCTGTGACTATAAGTGTGTGTGTGCGTTTTAATGATGATACTGCAAAGCACAATCTAGGAAGAGGCCTTTCTGAACTTCATGATACCATGTTATCTCATACCCATGCACGTGCACACTCGGCACCTCACCTATCTTTACAAAGAAGCAAAGGCAACATTCGTTTACCACAAGCTTGCAACACCTGAAAAGCATGTCTGCACAAAATGCTGCCATAATAATAATAATAATAATAATAATAATAATAATAATAATAATCAATATTTATACCCTGCTACCATCTCCACAAGGGACTCGGTGCAGCTTACATGAGGCCGAGCCCACAATACAACAATACAAGCAGTAACAAATACAATACAAAGCAATTAAAATAAATCTCATACACAAATAGCATAAACATTGAACAAGGTACAGTGCACATTTAAAATCTATGGGTGGACCAAATGTAATTGAAGTTTAAAAAATAATGCTAGGCATGAACAAGATAAAGGAGGTGGGGCGTTGATGGAGACATACAAGCAGACCTAAAACGACATAAAGTGCTTTTGGAGGACATAATGCTAAGGGTTCATTATTCTGGGAAGGCACACTGCAACAACCACATTTTCAAGCTCCTCCTGAAGACTGCCAGAGATGGGGCATGTCTGATGTCCTTAGGGAGTGAGTTCCAGAGTCGAGGGGCCACCACTGAGAAGGCCCTCTCTCTCGTCCCCACCAAATGCGCTTGCGATGCTGGTGGGAGCGCTAGTAGGGCCTCTCCAGATGATCGAAGAGATCGTGTGGGTTCGTACACAGAAATGCAGTCACACAGGTAGGCAGGTCCCAAACCATTCAGGTCTTTGTAGGTAAGAACCTGCACCTTGAATTGGGTCCGGAAAATGAATGGCAGCCAGTGGAGCTCCTTAAACAGGAGGGTTGACCGCTCCCTGTAAGGAGCACCAGTTAACAACCTGGCCGCCACTCGTTGGATCAATTGAAATTTCCGAGCCGTTTTCAAGGGCAGCCCCACGTAGAGTGCATTACAGTAGCCCAATCTGGAGGTGACTAAGGCATGGACCACCCTGGTCAGATCTGCCTTCATCATCTGTATCTATCCATCGCTGCCCCACATGCTCCTCCTCCTCAAATGGATCTCCTTGTTGGAGAGAAAAGTAGAGTATAAATACACATAAACATAATAATAATAATAATAATAATAATAATAATAATAATAATAATAATTTATCAATAAATAAATAAATAAACCAGTTCAGGTGGTCCCAGTGGTCATCGGCACACTGGTTGCCATGCCAAAAGACCTCAGCCGGCATTTGGGAACAATAAACATTGACAAAATCATGATCTGTCAACTGCAAAAGGCCACCTTACTTGGATCTGCATGCATCATGCGAAAATACATTGCGCAGTCCTAGACGATAGGGAAGTGTTCAACTTGTGATTTTGTGATATGAAATCCAGCATATAGATCTGAAATCCAGCTGTGACATACTGTGTTTTTGTGTCAGTAAAATAATAATAATAATAATAATAATAATAATAATAATAATAATAATAATAAATACCAAACTGCAAAGACTCTGGCACAAGCCATTCAAGGTGGTCCCCGTGGTGATCGGCACCCTGGGTGCAGTTCCTAAAGACTGCACTTAAAAACAATTGGTGCTGACAAAATCACCACCTTTCAGCTGCAAAAGACCACCCTACTTGGATCTGCATGCATTATTCGCTAATACATCACACAGTCCTAGACACTTGGGAAGGGTCCGACGTGTGATCAAATACAAAAGCCAGCATAGTGATCTTGTTGTTACAACAATAATAATAATAATAATAATAATAATAATAATAATAATAATAATAATAATAAATCATGCAGTCCTAGATGCTTGGGAAGTGTTCGACTTGTGATTTTGTGATACGAAATCCAGCATATAGATCTCGTTTGCTGTGACATACTGTGCTTTTGTGTCAATAATAATAACAACAATAATAATAATAATGGGTTGTTGTAGGTTTTCCGGGCTATACGGCCATGTTCTAGAAGCACTCTCTCCTAATGTTTCATCTGCATCTATGGCAAGCATTCTCAGAGGTTGTGAGGTCTGACCTCACAAGCTCTGAGGATGCTTGCCATAGATGCAGGCGAAACATCAGGAGAGAATGCTTCTAGAATATGGCCATAGAGCCCAAAAAACCTACAACAACCCAGTGATTCCAGCCATGAAAGCTTTCGACAATACAACAACAACAACAAGCCCGTTGCAGACTTGTGGCACACCAGCTCCCTTTGAAATGGTGTTATTTTCTGTAGGTGGAGGGTTCATACACCTCTTCCCGTTGTCTTCTTTTCGTACTTCTGCTTGCTCTGTCCTTCCTTTACATGCCTGGCTTTGTGTGCTTCCATTTAACAGATGGGAGCTCCATTGCCTGCCAGCCTGTTGGACTGGAAAACGGAGCCAACCCGCCGGCTGAATGGTTCCCGCGCAGCCAAGGCCCAGGGCTGCGGCAGCCCAACAGTGAGGTGGATGGTAGTGAGAGGAACTTCAGGGTGAACCTTCACTGCAAACACGGGCGGCCCAGGTAAGGACGGAGGGAGCAGGAAGCGGACGAGGGGATGGGCCGATAGAAATGTCCGTCTTTCCCCTTTTGACAGTCATAAGATCTTTGTTCTTGGCTGGGCAGGCAAGAACCACATCAGTGGGGGAGAAGCTTGGCTTCAACCAACAAGGCTTAACCTACCACTGATCCTAGCATGAGGCAGAATGAAGACACCTCCTCAGCAGTGGCTACCATGCGCCTTTGAGTTGTCCTCCCTAGTAGAAGACACACCTGTGTTATCTTATGGTGTGTCCTCAGTTTTTCCCCCATTTTGTTCCTGTAGGTCCAGTTGGTTTCTGTAGAAGAACCCTAACGGTTCTGGCCCAAGTTACCTATCCAAACGCATCTCCGCCTATGAATCCACTAGGACAGTGTTTCTCAACCTGGGGGTCGGGACCCCTGAGGGGGTCGCGAGGGGGTGTCAGAGGGGTCACCAAAGACCATAAGAAAACATAGTCTTTTCTGATGGTCATGGGGATTCCATGTGGCAAGTTTGAACCAATTCTATCATTGGTGGAGTTCAGAATGTTCTTTGATTGTAATGAACTATAAATCCCAGCAACTACAACTCCCAAATGTCAAGGTCTATTCTCCCCAAAGTCCACCAGTGTTCACATTTGGCCATATTGCGTATTTGTGCCAAGTTTGGTCCAGATCCACCATTGCATGAGTCCACAGTGCTCTCTGGATATAGGTGAACTACAACTCCCAAACTGAAGGTCAATGCCCATCTTACCCTTCCAGTGTTTGCCATTGGTCATGGGAGCCAAGTTTGGTTCAAATCCATCGCTGGTGGAGTGCAGAATGCTCTTTGATTATAAGTGAACTATAAATCCCAGCAACTACAACTCCCAAATTACAAAATCAGTCCTCTCCCAACCCCACTACCATTCACATTTGGGCATATTGGGTATTTGTGCCCAGTTTGGTCCAGTGAATGAAAATGCATCCTGCATATCAGATATTTACATTATGATTTATAACAGTAGGAAAATGACTGTTATGAAGTAGCAACGAAAACAACGTTATGGTTGGGGGTCACCACCACATGAGGGATTGTATTAAGGGGTCACGGCATTAGGAAGGTTGAGAACCACTGCACTAGGACTTTAAGATCTTCTGGGGAGGCCCTGCTCTCGATCCCGCCTGCAACTCAGGCACGGCTGGCGGGGACGAGGGACAGGGCCTTCTCAGTGGTGGCCCCTCGGCTGTGGAACGCCCTTCCCACAGACATTAGATCGGCTCCCTCATTAATGGCATTAAAGTGAAAACCTGGTTATTTGAACAGGCGTTTGAATAGGCAGTGCAATGAATGATAATGAATTATAGGAAATCGGAACGACGGATGACGTGCTTGGATTATGATTTTAGTTATGAGATGCTAATGAGTTGTTTATTGATGTTAATTGCTTAGTGTATTATTGTGTTAATTGTTTTAAATGGTTTGTATGATGCTAGCATTGAATTGTTGCTGCTGTTTGTTGTTAACCGCTCTGAGTCACCTAAGGGCTGAGAAGAGCAGTATACAAATGAAGTAAATAAATAAAATAAATAAATAAGAAACTTTTGAGAGTAGGTACCTTATCATCCACTTTTGGTCAGCCATTGGCCAAGTGTAATCACTCCTTGTCCCCTGACTGCCCTTTTTTTGACCAAAATAAAAGATAAGGGCCTAAATTGTTTCTCTTGGAAGCTGCCTTTTCAATAGGTTTATTTTGAACTTCAGGGAAAGTTCATAGCAAACACAAGACGTACTGGAAATTGAAGTCGTTAGTATACAAACGCTATGTCCAACGAAATGAGTGGTGTGCCTATAGCAACCAATCACAATTCTGCTTTCAATTCTTATACTGCTGAGGTGGAACGACAGCTGCACTGTTTTTGGTTGGTATTTCTTATACTGCTGAGGTAAAAGGAAAACTGCACTATGATTGGTGGCGTAGTGGGTTAAACCCCTGTGCCGGCAGGACTGAAGACCGATAAGTCGCAGGTTCGAATCCGGGGAAAGGCGGATGAGCTCCCTCTATCAGCTCCAGCTCTTCATGCGGGGACATGAGAGAAGCCTCCCACAAGAATGATAAAACATCAAATCATCCGGGCGTCCCCTGGGCAACGTCCTTGCAGACGGCCAATTCTCTCACAATTTCTCAAGTAGCTCTTGACATGACAAAAAAAAGGTTGTTATTTCTTCTACTGCTGAGGTAAAAGGAAAGCTGCACTATGATTGGTTGTTATTTCTTCTACTGCTGAGGTAAAAGGAAAGCTGCGCAGCGATTGGTTGCTAGAGCTCAGTTTTCATTTCTTATACTGCTGAGGTAAAACGAAAGCTAGGGTGTGAGTGGTTGCTTTGGGCATCACAGATTCCACTTTGTCTATTCTCGGACTGCTAGTTTTACTCTGAATACATGTGTGTATTTGAATGCAACGTTGTGTCATAATTTCATTTTACTATAAAAAAAACGTGCGTATTGGAATGCAACGTTGTGCCAAAATGTCAAGCCAATCGACCAAATACTTTTTGAGTTTTGCAGGCACAAACGTACACAGGCTGAGATTTTTTATATAAAGATTTTCTTGGCTTGCCTTCACCTAGGGCTCAAAATAAGTCACCAGAGATCAGAGAATTTACATTACTGATCTTCAACTCCAATAATCCTGCAGCCAACAGAGGTCGTGGGCAATGCTGACTAATGGGATTTGGGGATGGTAGTCCTCAAAACTTATGTTTTCTCAGTTCTGGGAACAAATGCAGTTGTTTCCATTTTCTAAACAGTGGGTTGTAGCAAGGATGAGTATGCTCCTGAATCCACAAGGCCACATCATCTGATTTTTCTTTCTCTTTTGGTGCTAGAAACTTAATTAAAGTAATCATTCTGGGTGACTGTGTATCACTCCTGGATACCCTTTGGACTGGGTTGCTATGAGTTTTCCAGGCTGTATGACCATGTCCCAGAAGCATTCTCTCCTGACGTTTCTCCCACATCTATGGCAGGCATCCTCAGAGGTTGTGAGGTCTGGTGGAAACTAGGAAAATAGGGTTTATATCTTTGTGGAATGCTCAGGGTATGTAAACCCCACCTGTCTAGTTTCCTCACAACCTCTGAGGATGCCTGCCATAGATGCAGGCGAAATATCAGGAGAGAATGCTTCTGGAATATGGCCATACAGCCCGGAAAACTCACAACAACCCTTTGGATTGTTTGGGCCTTTCTGGTTTTGAAGTGGGAGAAAAATCTTGATTTCAAGTGGGCTTGTTTCAGCTTGAAAATAAGGCTTTGGAAGTGGAAGGTTTTCAGGAGGAAGGGGAGTGGTACCAGGGGAATTACTAGATTCCACACACACACAACATGCAAGTTGCATGATTCCCACCAGATAGAGATGAGAGAGACTTCAGTTAAAATCACTAAGATAAAGATTTTCCCCAGACATTAAGTCCAGTTGTGTCCGACTCTGGGATTTGATGCTCATCTCCATTTCTAAGCTGAAGAGCCGGTGTTGTCCGTAGACACCTCCGAGGTCACATGGCCAGCACCACTGCACTGAGTGCCGTTAGCTTCCCACCGGAGCGGTACCTATTGATCTACTCACATTTGCATGTTTTCGAACTGCTGGGTTGGCAGAAGCTGGAGCTGACAGCGGAAGCTCACGCCACTCCACGGATTCGAACCTTCGACCTTTCGGTCAACAAGCTCAGCCGCTCAGCGGTTTATTTATTTATTTGTTTACAGTATTTAAATACTGTAAATAATTTGATGTGCCGGAGATGTCACTGCCATGGTCCTTTCAGTATTGGCTACTACTTCTCACCCTGCAGGGGACTCAGGGCGGATTACAATGTACATATACATGGCAAACAATCAATGCCATAGACACACAACATATATAGACAGTCAGAGGCTATTTAACATTCCAACTTTTTCTGGCCACAAGGGGAGTTGTCGCTTCACCGTCCATCCATGACATCGATGAAGTACTTCTTCATTCCCTGCATGCCTGCTGGAGATTTTTATTTTTAATTTCCTACTTGACAGATGCAACTGTCTTTCGGGCTAAAAAGGTCGACAACAAGCTACACAAATTTGGTCGGAAGCTCACTCTGACTTGGGCTGGCTTCGAACTCATGACCTTTTGGTCAGTAGTGATCTTAATGCAGCTGACTCCCAGCCAGCTGCGCCACAGTCCCAGTTTAACCCACTTTGCCACCGGGGGCTCCTGATCACTACTTAGCCATAAACCATATTGTGTGTCTTTGAGCCAATTGCTATCTATCAAATTAAATTGTAAAAGGGAGATGGGGGAAGACACCGGAGGAGCAACACTTTTAGCTTGTGACCAACTAAGGTCTTTGTCAATACTGATCCCAAGCAATGAGGCACAGTGTGTACTGTTCTCATAACAAGTGGTGTGTGTGCACACACACCTGCAAATCACCTGTTGCTTTGCATGATGATTAAAATTCTGTATAGAGTAAAGCAGAATTTGATGAGTAGAAGAAGCGTGTGCCTGTGTGTGTGCATATTCATATTGTTCAGTTGCATAAGCTATACTTCTGCTAATTGAGGACTCTGGATCCCTGTGCTGTCCCTCCTGGAAGCCCAACCTCTCTTGTGGGTATTTTTTTATGTATTTATCATATTATTTATTTATTTATCCAAGGATACAGCCGTAATGTATTTTAAAAGAAAACACACAAAGTTTTAATAGCTTAAATGTCCTTTGAGCAGTAGCTGGCCACTTGGCGTGCCTCTGGTGTCGCTATGAGAAGGTCCTCCATTGTGCATGCGGCAGGGCTCAGGTTGCATTGTAGTAGGTAGTGTGGGATTTGCTCTTCTCCACACTCACATGTTGTGGACTCCACTTTTTGGGCCCATTTCTTAAGGTTGGCTCTGCATCTCGTGACGCGAGAGCAGTCTGTTCAGCTCCTTCCAAGTCGCCCAGTTTTCTGTATGCCCAGGAGGGAGTTTCTCATTTGGTATCAGCCA